AATTCCAGCACAATAGCCAGGTTGTTGAGGCTTTTAGGGTGTCGGGGTGATCTGGCCCAAGAACCTTCTCGTGTCCCTCCACTGCACGCCGATTCATTGCCTCTGATCCACTGTACTTTCCCTGTCTCCAAAGCACAATTGCCATGTGGCAGACACTCCTGAGGGTGTCTGGATGAGATGCCCCAAGAATTCTCTCCAGTCCCTCCAATGCACGTCGATTCACGGTCTCTGATTCATCGTACTTTCCGATGTCACTCATCACACTTGCTAGGTAGGATAAGCACTCCAAGGCGTCAGAATCATGTGGACCCCATAACCCCCCAACATCCTCCAGCGCATTCCGAAATATCTCCTCCGCCTCCTTGGCCCTCCCTTGGCGTGCCCTCACCCGCCCCAGGAGCATTAATCTCCTATGACCTTTATCCCAGCCTTGCTCCTTATTCTCCTCGCGAAATCTGATGCATCGACCGATCTGTGCTTCCGCATTGTTGTAGGAACCCAAGTGTAGAAAGTACTCTGCCATACGAAAACAAAGATCTTCAGAAATAATATCTGTTCTGGCTTTCGTTACCGCAAGTGCATGTGGAATGTATGACTTGCAAATATCCCGCAGCTTGTGCTCATATTTAGGGAACATTCGAGAAACTATTCCTAGTGCGTTGTCACTGCATTTATGCAGCTCTTCCGGCGATAAATAGGCCTGTATTGATAGCTGAACCAAGTGGTGAAGCTCATAAAAGGTCTTGTCTTCGTGTTTGATGGCGGTAACTAGGGAGAACCCCAATAGTTTCCCAACAGCCCGACGGAATTCAACAGGATCATCCATCCCTTCAACCCCACATTCTCTCAGGAGCTGCTCGGGTATATTTTGGCAATCAACGAATGCAATTAGCCGCAAGAGATGGCCGGCTGTCGGCATATGTTTCGTAATTTGATCAAAGGTGATGAAGTACGTGCTCAAAATACTTTCCGTCACGTCAGACTCTCGGCGGATATCGCTAAACTGCTCTGAAAGTAGCTTCGTCCTTCGCTGATCGTTCTCTCGGAAAATTGTCCAGTAGTCGGAGGGCAGTGTTTCGGTCTCGGCCATGAAAGCCGCTGAACCTACTACCGCAAGCGGCAGGTGATCGACCGAACCCAGGATCATGGCAACTATCTCTCCTTCCCCATCCCTCAAGCTTCCCCAGCCTCCAAAGTGCTCGAAAAACAGTGCCTTGGCCTCACCCTCGTCCATTTTTCCAATAGCGATCCTTTCGCACTCTTGCCGGAATGCAACCTGGCGAGATCTGGTGGTGAATATTAGCGTGCCTCTTAGGCCTTGTGGCACAAACTTAGCGATGGGACTGTTGTTGCTAACAAAGTCCTCCTCGTTGTCGGCATTATCAATTACCAAGATCCAGTTACGGCTGTCCCGACCTTCAAACCACGTCTTTACACCTAAGAGGAATCCCTCTTCCTCCGTCTCACCGCTAGCTAGAGGATTCCGAACGTGTTTCCCAATAGCCCTGAAGTCCTCCCTAAACTTTGACACTCCACTTCCCCGCACCCAGAAAATGTCACAATCGGCCTCACTTGCGCGCCGATAAACGTATTCGAGGACGATCTGAGTTTTTCTAAGCCATGTTAGTAAAAGCTCCGGATATAATATTATCGACTACATACCCAGCGCCTCCTAATCCATGAAGAGCTATCCGGTTGTGGCCATCACGCTTGCAAAGCCTCTCTACCGAGTGAATAAGATGCTCACGGCCAGTGAATTTACGGTTCCTGCTGTAGGGAATTATCCGATAAGGCTTAGATGCCTCTTGCGGCCGCAGTAGCGTATTAGCACCCCGCCCAAAGCTCTCGAGAATGCCGGCCATACCTCTTTCGTCAGATTTAAATATACATCCTTGATACATTGTTCCGACATTGGCCGCATAGCTCTTGTAGCCCATATTTAGGTTATGGTTGTTGCTACCGGAGACATTATGATCTCCTGAATTCCCGCTAAATTCCCCGCTGATGTTGGCTTGGATTTTCCTGTGAATATCCTTAGATGAGCGCTTCATTTTTTCTTTTAATTACGCAGATATTAAGGGCAGGGCGAACCCACTGATCCATCGTGCTCCTGGCTCACCAGACGAGTAGAGCTGGTTTCGAACGTCGAGTATAAAAGTTGTGAGATGTTGCTAGCGTAACCGAAACGGGAAGTATAGCCTAATTATCGCCTATCGAGGTGGTTTGAAATTGTTTTCGCGAGGCCCTGAAAAAAGTCAACAGCCGCGATATAGCACGATAAAACAAGTAGTCACGGACCCAACCTTCGGTACGGGGGTGCTTAGTTCTGTGATTTTGATCCAGCTGTGGGTACAATATTCTAGCTAGGGCGATACTCTCTAGTGGACCCCGAGCGGTTGGTATGAGGGTGTTGTGTGGCCGTTCCAGTACTCGGGTAGGGTAAAGTAGAGCGACAGCGTGTAGAGGCAGTGGGGAAGGATGAAATTTGCTCTTCAGAAGCCAGAAGTCTTCCCCGCCTGGGCTGAGAAAAAGCGGGGCAAAAGCAAACAACATGGCGTTGCAGGCCACCTCTTCAACTTTGGGCAATATAATCAGCTTAACATGGGGCCACAATTTGGGCAGTGACCAGTGATTGGTGCATGGCTTGCTACGGCGTGCCAGACATGGTGCGACAATGGCTTTAGGATAGCAAAAAAATTCCAACATCCCTCCGCAGCCGCGTATTGTGAAGCACTCCATCACCTGATTTTTTTACAGAATGTAATTTATATATCTTTGAACCTATAAAATGATGGCGATATACCAATACCGGTAGTCTCCAGTAGTTTGGCCCATCCTTATTCGAGGCCCTGGTCTACCAGCCTACTGCATTCTGCATAGAGGGTGGTCTCTCTTCAAAGCGAATCACACTCATGATCTTGCCAAAAACTTGGTCCAGCCACCCAGCGCGGGATTGGTAAGAAATTTAACTAACGTACAGAACGGTAACACTACCGGTACAAGTACTCCTTCACCACTTCACCATATGATACCAATAATAATTCCATGACGCCTGTGAAAAATTCCGGACTTGCATCAGTGGGCATATTCCCAGTGGAGGAATTTCCAATCCTAATGGCGCACGAGAATACGACCGAATGCCTCTGCGGCTGTCGCTAAGAATAGTAAGCACATTGCATGCGGTCACAGCTCGAACCCCACGACCATTTACCGACCTCCGCACAATGCATCTCGAAGCTGTAGCGGAGGCGAAGCGTTTCAACCGGAAGTATTCTCCTATGTAGGGATTTGTGAGAACCCGGATATTCTGCCAACAATTCGCGGTATGGCGGCAGAAAACCCACCCAGGGGGTTTTCATTTTCCATCAGGTCGGCTGCCCTCCTTGGCTTGTACCGTACCGTCCCGTTCACAACATTCTCGCGGATAGAAAGGGGTACTGTTAGGGGAGATGAGAGCAGACTTCGGAAATGACAACAATAGTTGCCATCTAGCCTTTTGTTTATTCACTATAAGTTTCTATTTTTTCTATGGATGACGATGATGAAAACGCGGCTAGTGAGGGGCCCGGTAGAGAATAATAGAGGGGGCAGGAGTACCGAGGGGGAGGCGTGTATCACCGGAGTTTTTTCTTTCTCCTTTTTCTCTCTCCATTCTTGTCTCACAGAGCAGTCTTTTCTTCTTCGATCCACTTTCTCAACCGTCAGTGAAGTTATCATCATTGGTGAAGTTCTTACCCGGACTCTGGTATCAAAGATACCAGTAATATTGGTTCTTTGCCACTACCCACAAAAGGACCCCTAGCAGAGAGGAGAAGTGACAGTGCCGCGGAAGTACATTGGCCGCAGCCATTGTACCTGTACAAAAGATTACCATGCACGCGAGGTCTGAATCTTGTCTTTAAAAATAATTCCCAGCCATTGGGTATGGAGATTTGCTTTGTTTCTCTCACATCCTATAGAATTAAGTTCATGGTAGTAGACTTGAGGTGTCACAGAGGATAAGGGGATATCCGGAGGGTTCTAGATTGCTGGAGAATAGCGGTGAATCATGATTTAGAAGGAGAGTATATTTCTTCAGAATTTGTAGAGTTTTCTTTGGTTTCTGGACTTGTTAGCTGTTTGGAGAGATATATCCCCTGGTTTGCTGCCTTACTCTTGCGTGTCTTCCTTTAGGTTTTACCAACATTGGGAGCATCTTAAAAGTTGATTGCGAGATCTGGCCGAAGCGATCTATGCTAATTCCGTTACTGGGGTATGGATGTGGGAGACCGGACAGCTGGGAGAATGGAAGGCTAAGGCTTGCTGCCATCATCGGAAATGAGGGGGCCTACTCGGCATGGAAGATGTTGGGATGAGCAAGGAGCTTTAATACCTCTAATCCCCGACTGTCCAGTCACCCGCGTCCATATCCGAGTGCAACAGGACGTCAGGGTATTCCGCTGCCGTACTGGCGGGCTGGGATAGGGGGAGATCAGTCGCCGAGAGACCTTGCCCGCGAATGGACCCAAGATTTATTCACGGAGTCTATAAAAATAAGCGAGGTGATTTAAATTAAGAACTAAGTAACGAGAATAGGTCCTTTTTGTCCTTCACCAAGCATAGCGGCCGGACTTCCAGAGCGCTTCAGCTCCGTTTTCCCTACCTCACCACAAAACACCCCCATTACCGCAGGATTAGCGGTTGGCCCGGGGTACTGCTGGGGACGTGGAGGATCAATCCAAAGGGGAGTGTGTTGGTAGTAATTCGGGCGGGGAGGCTACCTTCGTTCCAGTTAAAAAATTCCGGATAGAAGGACTTAGGCCTAGGATATTATAAGGGTATAGCCGAAGTAAAGAGCGCAGCCAAATCCCCGGGGCGTTGGTAGCAATACGGGATAAGACCGCCGTCGCGCTGGTTAAAAATTTCCTGGCCGAGGTGGGGAGCGCAGCCGAGACGAGTCCGTGAGGTACATTACTACCAGGAGCCGGTCTCGGGTGCCAGTGCGGGATGTAGGAAATGGGTAGACGCCCCAGTACGTGATATGCCGCATTATCTAGTGAGAACCGTTAGGGGGCCAAGTATATTCAAATAAGGTTTTTATCCTTGCTTTGCCTTGAAAACACGATAAAACGCCACATCCTAACTCATTATAGCCAGAACCAAACCTTTCGGGCCTCAAGTTTCGCTGCGGTTGTAGGTTTCACCAGAGCCACTTCCGATTTCGACGTAAAGACGTCTGCCGGTTCTCGCCAGATAATGCGGGAGTGAAGTCAGAGCCTGGTGGTGTCCACTAGTCGCGGCTTCTGTCGCGGGAAAAAGGGTGCGATGCTATCGCCAGGTAACTTAGCGGGGCATATGGGTAACTTACAGTGAGGCTACCAGACTGATAAGAACGTGGATGCTGACTAAGCAAACCATAGGGGATCACGGCGCCTTTTTCTTTGTCAGCGAGGAATTGTAGGGTAGATGATCCGGTATGGGGTTCACAGCCAGAAAGCAGTTCCCGCGCAAAAAGTGCCTTCTTTCTGCCTTGCGGTATTGACCACCGTAGCTTTCATACCTCTGCATAATTTCCCCAGCCGTTGAATGCGGGGGTGAGGTTTTCGATCATAATGTAATTTGTATGGTCTGTGTTCGCGAGGTGACGCAAGCCGCTAAGCCTACCAGATGATACCCATACGGTAGCAATATCGCACGGTCAGGAAAGGCCAAAGTGAGACTCACCTTAGCTCCGTAAGCCAAGTTTTATAATTGCCTGCCGTTTGGCGGTAAGCCTTCAGATATCCAGAGTACTTGGTACAGTATGTATTCGTAGCAGTTATCAGATGGCCGGTAGACACCGTTAAACACCAGCCGCCCTCTACTGATATTTTCGAATACCCGCCAAAGCAAGGGAATATCCGAAGCTAACTTCGCACGCACGAAGGGAATATAATAAAAAAGGGTTGAGGGAAGTTCAGAAATCTGAGGCTAGTGACGATGCTGCATCAGCTCATATAACTGGGGAGAACAACAAAATTACCCCTACCTTAACAATTATTCTATGATCACAAGGCTGTTTTCCCCGACCACTTCGGTATTATCCCGAACCTCGAATTCGTTTTCCTCCACTCATATACCCAGCTGCGTGTCTCAACAAGCACCCTTCATAGCAGTTCCGCATCAAACTGTTTCTATTTTTATTACCCCGATGGTCCTATTGAGGGCACAATTGTTTAGGCGAGCATTTGAGCCCACACTCCGGATTTACACCAAGACCCGCACCCGGGGGTCTTTCAACCCTAACCCACCTAAGAAATCATGGCGAAGATAACATATCATCCATTGTAGGCACTTACGTGCAGATCCCATTGGCACATACAGCAGTGACGAGTTCAATCTATGTCGATGTATATATGTCCTGGGATCATGAAGTGTGGTAATCATGTACTGTCACTCGGAAGCCTGCTGGGATCGGCTGTGCCGGCCAGGCCAACTGCTGGAAATTCCAGGGCCATCCGGGAGGCCGGCCGGTTACGGGTCCCGAATGGGGTAGGATGGTTGGGGCCCGCCGTCTGCCCCCCGACCTCCAGAACACCCGGCGCGGTGGCTTCTTGCTCGTCATGATTACCTTTCTTTGGAGGCAGGCCTGGCGGGGCCGGCATGGCACCAGCTAGCAGGGTCCCGTCACAATATGTTTCGGGAACTATCCCGGTCTCATGCGATGCGGGGAAACATATCGGCTCTAAGCAGTCTTACTTTACCTGGGACCACGACGGCATGGCTGGGTTGTACGAGTAGAGAGTTCTCAGGGTCTTGTCTAGTTTGCGGCGGGCAAGGCAAGGCGCTCCGTGGGTCGTGAGAGTAGGAGGTTGGTAGATTGCGATTGGTAGTCCGATCAGTCGAAGTGGGGATTTGGCCCCGGGCCGCTGGCGGAAGCACGAAGGAGACGACAGCCTTGCTCTGGCTGTCCTAGTGACTTGGAGCATAAGGTTGCAAAATTCTTATTGGGAAAGACGCAGGCCGTAGGGCGTGGGGTTCCGGGGGTAATTCTGTTCGTGCCTTCACACTTATAAATTTGACAGATAACGCCATTCACAAGGAGTGACCTCTTATGATTCTGTAGGGTAACAAGGTGGCTGCCAGGATCTTATGGGGTGATAGGGCAGAAAAGATAATTCGCTATGAAAATGAACAAATACAGTGATAAATGAGACCGGAACCCACCGAAAACAAAATGGTGGAATGTTCAATCCTTCACCGATAGAGAAATATCTCTTGTAACAAATAATTGAATAGTCCGCTGTTGAAATTCGTGAAGCTTCCATCTCCCTAGTGTGGCACGAAAGGTCTTACATATGGTAGAGAGGATGTGGTCAAGGAGTCTTAGGGCTCTAAGGTTGTTAGGCGTGCATAACAAGGGCCAAGAGATGGAACACATTATGAGCCTGAGACAGGTCGGGTGGTGAGGCACAGTTTGTATGGAAGAGGTTTTGGAGGATTCGGAAACGATGGTGATGGTTGTTGAGTTAGAGATTGGGGGACAAGTGCAGAGTTCGGACAATGGTATGTCGCACGATGAAGGTCAAGTGATGCTAGGTATGTGTGAAGGAAGTTTCTAGCCAGTGAGAGAAAGGATTCAGACCCGGTATTAGGAGGATGAAATCTATACACATAGGACTCCGGGGATGAGCACAGAAACGACAGGAACCATGAGACACTCTCTCACGATCATAGACAATTGTTTTATTATCCGCCACTACCTCTCACTCTTAATTCTGGTTAGTTACGCCCATCGTCCCATTGCCCGCGGTAGATTACAATAGCCTCCCACATTCGTAGAAATCGGTATCCCAATTAGGTCACCCCTGGTCCAGGCGAACAACATGCGACATGGTGAATGGCATTACTGGGCATCGCGCTTCCGGAAGTGAGTCGTAGAAAAAGTAAGGTCAATCGGGTCTGCAGGTTGCAACTATACATTGTCCGGTTTTTTTGGCAGGCTCAACCCTGTGCTCGAGTATGCCGCCTCAACGCCTCTGATTCGCCTGACTTTCCTTGGGATTCCAGCACAATAGCTAGGTTGTTGAGGCTTTTTAAGGTGTCGGGGTGGTCTGGTCCGAGAAGCTTCTTGAATCCCTCCAGTGCACGCCGATGCATGGTCTCTGATTCAATGTACTTTCCTTGGTATTGCAGCACAATAGCCAGGTTGTTGAGGCTATTTAAGGTCTTGGGGTGGTCTGGTCCGAGAACCTTCTCGTGTCCCTCTAGTGCACACCGCTTCATATTCTCCGATTCACGGTACTTTACTTGGTATTGCAGCACAATAGCCAGGTTGTTGAGGCTTGCCAGGGTGTTGGGATGGTCTGGTCCGAGAACCTTCTCGCATCCCTTG